ATATATATATATATATATATATATATATATATATATATATATATATATATATATATATATATATATATATATAAAAAACATGTACATTAAGAGTAACTATGTTAATATGGCTAGTTGGATGCATTTTAAGGATAGAGTGTTCTAAAATAGACAGGATGTATGTTTTATGGGCTCTACAGTCTGTGCCACACACTTTTCAAATATTTTTTGATGTTCACAGTGGGACAAACGAACAAACGAATTGCTTTGACTTTGATCAATGTTGTCGATGCAACTTCTGTCGTCTTTTACTTTAGTACATCGTCAGATATTATCAGCAGGAGAACAATCAAAGCATTTTGCACTAGCCTCGAGATCCATGTGTCCGCTTCATCTCCCGTGGTCTGCTCGTGTGAATGGGTGGAAGGCCCCAGCAGGCAGTGTTCTGGCCGCCTCCATGCTTCCTGGGCCTCCTGGGGCTGGGTGAGTCTGCCTCCTCTCTGGGTGGATGGGAGGATAAGACCGTCCCTCACTGCACAGCGCTGGGGTCCAGATTGCTATACTGGGACAGTCTGGAGGTGGGCTATGGCACTCCAATTCATCTCCTGCTGTAGCTCAGCGACGAAAGCGCCTAGTGCCCACTTCTCATCTGTGGGAGCACTCAGGAAGATGGATTGGTTGGCCGGACCATCAGAGGAGGCAAAGCGTGTGGCTAAGAGCCTATGTAGCACGTGGCTGCTCTCATATGCAAGTTTGATGAAAGACATTCACAAACAGAGTCTGGGGAGCTTTTTCTGTATCAGATGTCTCAAAGTGGTGTACACTTTAGAGCAGGCGAAAGTATGAAAGCGGTACATGCTGGCATGAGCCATTCATCACTTGCTTTTCACTTTTATGGGGTACTTTGAATACGATGTTCAACGATGGCTTTCACTAGCTTGGAAATTAAGATGCTTCCTTAAGTCTCTTTCGGTGCCTTAGCACGTTCCACATTGCTCGAGACACTGCTCATAATTGCATGGGCATGTCCAGAAAGACAGACTAAATTACACACAGATATAAGATGAGGTGCTATCGGTAATATTCTTATGATGTTCCTATTAATCAGCTTGACTGGTTTTTATCACAGTCCGCCCAGCCCACCGCTGGCCAGGCAATAATCAGAAATACATAAAGAAATTCGAAGTCGAGCCAGGACCCAGCTTTGTCTTATTATGGAATAAACCTTGTGGAAAATATCGGTTCATCCCCAGAAGCGGCTACAAATTGGTCTTGCGCGACACGCTTGGAATTGCCGCCGCATTCCATGACCTAAAACAAAAATGACATGAACATTGACAAATTTGACAAAGAAATTTGTGCAAAAAAACAACCTCTATTTGGTCAGCCAGGCAGCAAATATGTCGGATGATATGCTTTATTAAGCAATCCATTTTTCAGCAATAGCGGTGCCATCTGCAAAGGTTAGCGTGCATCAGGCTACAGAAATTTCATCTGCCTCTCTGGGCCTCGGCAAACACTCCGGCACATTTTTCATGTACATACAATTTTGGATGCAAATAGAATACTTGATGAAAGGGATGACCTTCTGAAGTGACTCCTTGGCAGTAAGGTAGGACGGAACAGGCAGCAGGAACAGAATGAGTTACTGCCCTGGCTGATCCAGCAGCACTGTAATATATGACTACTGTTCGCTCACCCCCACCCCACTCTGCTACATCTCGTTTTGCTGTGCCTGGATAAAGAAACTTGGCAGAACTTAAAGGTGATATTCTTCCAATTTTACCTACAAGACCCATAGAAAGTTTTTATACTGTCTTTTTAAGGTCTTTTAAATTATGACACCGTAAATGAACTTACATTGTATATTATCAAATTAAAAAAATTATAAAATGCATAAAATATAGATACTAAATATAAAATGCATATATAAAAAAAACAAATATATATTCAGTTATATAAATGTAATAAAAAAATAATAAATATATACATAAATAAAATAAAATAAAAATAAATCAATACAAATGCTTTAATAATAACAATATACATATAGACTAAATGGATAGTGAATGTATACTTTGTGTATAACATTTTTAATATAAGAAACAGACTGCAGAAATAATCTCAAATGTTGTCTCTAGGTTTGTAGAAAAGATCTCAGATTTCTTCAGGTTGAAGACTTTGGTGGCTGAGCAGCATAGATATTGTATCTGTGCTGCTCAGCCACCAAAGTCTTCAACCTGAAAGTCTGATATTGCAATATCTAATTCTTTCAAAACTGAATAATCTGAGCTATGCTATCCACATTCATTTTAGCTCTATATAACTGTATATTAACAACTGGTAGTGTCTTTTTTTCCTCTAGAGAAACATCTGTGTCAAAGCTAATGCCGTACTTAAATTAACTCTGTTAAGTCTCCTGTGCCATGAAAGAGACATTAAATAAATAAAACTCTGCCATGACTAAAATATTTCCATCCATAAATTGGTTACCAAATCTAAGCACAGTTTTTTTTTGTCACCAAAGATTGTGTCACCATGTAAGCAATGTTCTAGCCACTCTGTCTTTGTTGTCGGAGGTTTAACAAATGGACAGTCAGACAGCTAGTGTTCCACTTACTCAGAGGTGTTGGTCTCATCTGTATTGTGGCTGGCAGCACAGTCATCTTCATTCTCTTTGTCCTTACTGAGGAAGGTGATCTATCAGACCACAGACATCATGGTGAATCTAGCTGGCCTCTGCCTTCTCCCATTTGAATTGAACACACAGTGTTTTAGTGCTCTGCAAGCGTTCCTCTAACCAGGACAGGATTGAGAATGAGTGAGCTGTCCTTGGCTTGTATTACTGTCCCAATATGATTGAGTTCCTTTGCTGGAATTGAAGAAAGGATGAAAATTGAGGACTTGACTTTCTAAGCCATGTGTTTCAGTAGGAATCAGTAATCTCATTTCCATCTAGGTCATTTTACACATTTTTTATATTATGAGTAGTGAAGTGTTTCATAAAAAACTTTATGGAGGATTTTAAGCTGACGTTACGAACAAGCTTTCTGAATGAATATAGTCTCATCTATTGTGAGCACGAAACCATTAGGATCTCATTTTATTACAACAGCTTCATTATTGTTTTTGTTGTTGTAATTTAAGAAGTCTTATGCATTGAGGATATTTAAAATATAGTTAAGACACAGTATTTTAATACTGATCAAGAATGTATGTTTTGTTTGTATTCCCAAACAGAGCAAGTTCTGGCAGTCTGAGTCTTGTAGGGGGATGATCACAGCGCGATAATTCGACTGACTAAGAAGTTCCTGCTTCAATGACTTTGTCCCACGGAGGGACGCGACTTCCAGACCCCTCAGACTGATTGTTTACTTGGGAGCGGAGGAAGAAGCGCATCTAGTTGTTTCCCAAGGTGAGCGTTTTATCCAAACACCTGCTGTTAAATAAGCGGGGCAGACCTCTGGCCGGCGCTCTCTGGCCAGGGGAATACACTGGCTTTGTCTCCGTGATGAAGGACTAGAGCTATTTATCCACCCACCCCATCCGCTGGATGTGTGTCACCAGCGAGGTGCTTAGGCTTGAGTGTTATATATAGACTTCCTCAGCCTCTAAATAGAAGTGAAATGGGATTGCCATTGTTTTTGTTGGGCCAAGATCGGAGGGTGAAAAATTAGAGATCCGCTCGCTGTGTATTTCATCACCTGCAAAGCCAATGAGGGAGAGCACCGTGTGCCTGGCGACTGCAAACTGCGCCCAGGTTACTGCACGCTACAGTAGCCAAGAATGTATGGTTCTGTAGATGATTAAATCAATACAATTTTGACAAGAGATGTAGGAACATGCCTCTTTATTTTACGCAGTTCCTTCCCCACCGTCAGGGGGCATTTATCACCCAACCCCGGTGCCGTCATCTAATGGAGATTGTTCTTTAGTCAGAGCTTGATCGAGAGGCGGGATTATGATGCATGTCGATAGTTTACCGAAATATTGACACAGGGACAAAGAGTACAGCCTGCAGCTGCTAGCCCATCTATTCCCAACACGCAGCGACATACACACACAGACATCGTGGAAGTATCCCCCATGGACGATTCCCATTGATGAATCGGCCCAAGCACCCGGGTGACTGGAGGCAGTCGTTAAGACCCCCGCAAACTCATTCAGCTAGCGATTAACGCTGCAAACGTCTGCCGCGTTTCTCGTCTTTATTTACCCTGGTCGTTTTCTCAGTGTGTTCTCCCTGTCCTCCCACACAACTCTCGAACACGTCCTTGGGACCTTTATCGTGGGCTTCTCACAAAGGTTTAATGATAAAAGACAGCACGTGAGGGAAAGAATGCAGAGGGATAATGAATATGAAAAAGGGGGGCAGCATTGGAAAGAGGAATGAGATGGGGGGGGGGGGCCTAATGACAGGTGTAGCAGTAAATTCTTCATTCTGCATGGGCTGATGGGAAGCGCTCGGCTGTGCGCTCGCCTGTGACTTTACAACTAATCCTGTTTGTAAGTTATTATTTATCTTCAGCAAACTTTGTCAAACTTGGGCTTTGATATTTTTTTTCTCCTCCCTCCTCCGATTTCCCTCTTGTGGCTCGCTCTCGCACATGCTCCCCACATAATTTATGACTGCCTCTGGTCCTCATGACAGATTATTAAAAGTAGAATTAGTTTTTTGTGCTGGATTTTCCCACTGGGAATTGGGAAGGCAGTCCTCTCAGAGGAAGGTCTCTTACGAGGTCTCCATTACTAATAGAAGTTTTTTCCCTTTTTTTGATGGGGGTGAGAAGACTAATGATTTGAATTTACTGTAGCAGGCGTCACGTGGTTGGAAAAGCATCAGCAGACGAGACAAGAGGTTAAGTTCTTCCCCGTAGAGAGCTTTATTGGATTGTTTAGCAGCAGAAGGATAATGTTTTTGTCAGAGAATGCCGGAGCGCGCTAGTCTGGCTACGGAGAGAAGAAAGATGAAGAGACCGAAAAAAAGACAGAGTGAGAGCCAGATATGGGGAGACAGAAAAGAGCTTCTCTCTTATGTGGGTGGTTTATAGATAGATGGATACAGAGACAAAGTGGAACCGAGAAAACATTGTTTTTTGTAATGCAACTGGACAAACTTGAAGATGTGAGTCGGAGATTTTCAAACGTGATCTGTTTCCTCTTTTGTTCTTTTATTCTTTCTTTCATGCGCTCACATGCAAAAAAAGAAGAAAAGAAATGCAGGCTAGATGGGCACACATGCACACACACAAAGTGCTATTTCCATTCACCTGATGGCCGTTTGGAGCTTGTTCTCCCAGCATGCTACTGCAGCATGGGAACCAGAGGGGAGTCACAGCACAGCTGAGAGCCTCGGCTTAATCTTATGCATCATTAAGCACTCAGCGGCAAGCCAGCGCTGTTCATATACATCATCCACGCTTAATAAACATAATGATGACATAAGATGTAATTCTAGATGAATTTTCATTTTATAGGGAAATGGAGAATTCCTGTAGAAAGGAAAAGAAAGAAAAAAGTAAATGATCAGGGAAGTACAAAATAAATGATGTTTTTTTCAGCAAGATGAATAGCGGTGTTTGGGGCTTTAGAGCAGGAGAGGAGAGAGAGTGTGATGCGGGAAGGGGATGAAGGGGCAGTGGAGGTGACTGGGAAAGGTGGGGTGGGGGTGCACCGGCCATTTGTACGTTTTAATCGCGGGAGTCTGATAGACAGGCTGAGGGAGTCGGAGTGGGACTCATCCATCATGAGCACTGAAAATCAGTAGTATGAGAGGTAGAGTTTCAGCTCGGGTTGCCTTACAGGGAAGGAAATAGGATTCTGATGGAAGTGTGAGGGGAGAGTGGCCCTAGACACTTGCCGGGGCGACCGGGGTCACTGAAAGGCAGAGGAGACCTGAGATTACCGCATCTGCTCAGAAAGCCACCCAGTCTGGACCCCTCTCTTGTAGCACGGCCCATGGCACAGCGATGAGCAGCACCCATGAATTAATGCAAAGAGGAGGGAGAAGAATCGCTCTTTGAAATTAGTGAGCACTTTGAATTCCGACGGAGTGGGCCGGGCAAACTACTTCCCCTCTATCAGTGACTCTTGACATGGGTAGATAACGGCGCAGAACGAGCATCTACAAATCAAAGCGTAATTACGACTGCTGGCTTCCCACAAACGCTTTAGTCAAGATGGCCACTCGGAGCTGTGCGCTGTTTGTACAGCTGTGAGCCCAAGCTTCAGATGCGGCTGAGAAGGAACGCCAGCAAGTGCACAGTTGCATGTCTGCCAAAAGGCTGAGGAAGTGCAATGCTCTGCTTCTGTCTAATGACTAACTAGAGCAGATCAGCCCCAGTGCAACCTCCCTAATGCAGTACTGTGAAACATACAGTAGCAAAATTAGTTTGCCTGTTTTTCTTTGGCAATCAAGTTGTCTTTTATCTAATATTCATTCTTTATTCATTCATTTGAGGCACACTGACAAATCTTAAAATATGAAAGCATATAGCATAAATCATGTATATATAATATATAAACATTTATATAAGCATTTGAAAGGATTTAAATTTTAAAATGTACATTATATAACAATAGAATATATATATATATATATATATATATATATATATATAGAGAGAGAGAGAGATAGAGAGAATAGACAGACAGATAGATAGATAGATAGATAGATAGATAGATAGATAGATAGATAGATAGATAGATAGATAGATAGATAGATAGATAGATAGATAGATAGATAGATAGATAGATAGATAGATAGATAGAAAGATAGATAGATAGATAAATTAGTAAATACATTACTAAAGTAAATACATTTCTAAATGTATAATAGATAAAAGTTTTCTGTTTCAAATAAATGCTGCCCTTTTGAATTTTTATTGACCAAAGAATTCTGAAAAAAAAGTAGCATGGTTTCCCCAAAAAATATTTAGCAGCTCAACTGTTTTCAACACTGCTAATAAAAGGGCACCAAATCAGCATATTAGAATGATTTTTGAAGTATCATGCGACATTGATGACTGGAGTAATAGCTACTAAAAATCAGCTTTGTCATTTACATTTAAAACATATTAAAATAGAAAACAGTTATAATAAATTGTAATAATGTTTGACAAAATTACTTTCTTCACTGTATTGTATAAAAAGTCGTAATTATAAATAAATTACTAAAAGGTAATTAAATTATAATTATTGTGTGTGTGTGTGTGTGTGTGTATGTATATATATATATATATATTCTAAAACCTTTTTAATGGACTTTTTGATTTTATAATTATTTTAAAATAATTTGTATAAAAAAGATTATAGAAATTGTGGCGCAATTGAGAGTTGAGAAAATATACACCGTTTAGCACTCCTCTGTAGTGCCAGGACATGTCCCAGTAAACTTGCTGCCAATGTTCAATTGGATCTTTTCCCAGAATGCAAGTCCTTGTTAATGTGGGCATACAGAGTTCTCAGAATGTATGATTTATGTAAATCATGAATTCATTCAAGTGTAAAAAACAAAAGAAGTGAATGAACAAATAGCAATGTAATAGGCTGGCTAACATCTTCCCCTAAACCACTCAAACAGTTACACTGCAATTCATTTGATTTAGAGCATTTATTTAAAAATGATGGTATCAGAATTATGCTGAACTGTGTTTAAGAATGTAAGTGAATCTTTCATGTTTCCGAGGTGATGTCATTATGTGAAGCACCTGTTATGGAACTTCTCGACAGAATCTAGTAATCATCCATTGACCTCTATGCTGTGCTGTGTAACTCAGTGCTAATGGCTAAGCTTTTGATATAATCTTGCTCTCATGAAGTATAGAGCTGTTCCTGGCACCACTGGCATACTGCATCTTGTTTCTCCAACTATTAAAAGTGTCAGCGGTTGTCTTCTATTGCTTTTATATGCTATTATTAACGACACAATGCTAACCGCCCAGCGTGTACATCTAATTAAAACCTCCAACAGTTATAGCAAGGAATTAATCCAAAAGATATGATATAATCATAGCAAATAATGTGTTTTTTTCCCACTGCCTTTGGAGGTTGGGTTGTAATGGGCTATCTGTATTCACACTGTGGGTTGTGATCTCACTCAATGATTGTTATAGAGCGCTGTAAAAGTTGCGGGTTCCTGCAGCAGCTTTTATTACTACCAGCTCTCTTATTTCAAAGCCTCTTTTAATTTATTACAGATTGTTTATTTGGGATTAAGGTTAATTACTGAAACCTCCTACAACTAAACTTTGTAACTGTAGTCCACACCTGTCTACCAAATAATGAGCATAGCGCTAGCAATGCCAAGGTCATGGGTTTACTTCTTATGGAATACATGAACTGATAAAACGTAGAACTTGAATGCAATGTAGTCTCTTTGGAAAACAACAGGCCTCATAAGATCACAAGAAAATTTGAGAGCCATGTATATATTTTCAGACCACTGTGATTTAGATGACAGTCTGTGGGGTGGTATAAATGTATCTTTCGGCCGTAATGCATTTTTGTCTGGTTGGCCGGGGTCTCCACAGTTCCCCCCCTCTTTCATTCCTGCCCTTTGACACAGTCACCTCCCAAAACCCAAGCCTGCATTCAAGCCCCCTGTCTTAACCTGAAGAAATATGTGTGCAGATAATTAGCTCTTATAGGTACACTTTCCATTTCTTCACTTCACTAAGCACATCATCTTCCTTCCCTCTTTATTGTTTGCTTTGCTTTGTCAGATCGATGTCTTGCTACTGCGTAAGTAGCAGTCATATCTAAAGCAACATAAATCACAACAAGGTTCCCTGTCGCACCAGTCAACGCGGTAGGGAGTGTCTTTTTTCCGCGCGGATCTCGGATCCGGGTTTGACTGCGCTCGGTGTCTGTCTGTGTGGCGCTGTGCTCACTGGTCTTTTGCCATGTAAAATGGAATGTGATTACACAGTGCTTCGCTTTGGCTTTCAGAGGTTGTCAGAACATCAGGCATTTGTGTCAGATCCCTCTCCGCCCATCCCATAATATCCTGCCTTTGATCTGTTAAGGGGGAACTTATCAGATTATCCCCTATCAGGTGCCTTGGTGGGGAGTGGGTGGGCAGCATTTCTCCTGCCATTACTGCCAGCCCTGTGATCATGCCCCGCTAATGAATGCGCAAATGCAAATAGCCCTTCCCTGTAAAAGTTGACATTGTCTCCTGTGATAAATTTTCTGCTGAGGTAAGAGACAATTTAGAGTGGAATTACAAGCAGGCTCTTTGTCACTCTTCGGGTCCATTTACATCCGTAATTAGCTGTAATACCACTGCACCCATTAGAGAGAGAGAGAGAGAGAGTCACCACTGAAACAGATAAGCAGTAAAAAGGGGCGAGAGAGAGGAAAAGAGAAGCGCCAGATCTCTTGATGCTTTGCACAGCGCCGTCAGCTGGTGATTTATATGCACCCCTATGCATTTGTCGCCACGCCAATGGGTGTAAACATTGATTAGGAGCAGGAAATGAGGCACACACTTTGTCCTCTGTGTCAGGGTCTTTGGGTTGAGGAAGAGGAAGGCTCATGGTCTTAATGTGTACAGTCCTCAACACCTGAGTACATTTTAGAGGGTCGCGTTAGATACGCCTCTCAAGCATTACCCAAACAAACACATGACATTGTGCCACAGCGCTGCTTGAGTGACAAGCTCAGACTTGTCACTGAGTATCTTTCAGACCTGTGACACTCACAAACACGGAAGTCATAGTGCATGCTTTTCCCCACAAAAGAAATGTGGATTGACGGAAAGCTTTGAGATGCACCAATGATTGCTTAGTTTTGTTCTACTGGTATGTTTTTGAACACATCTACGAGTGTCGTCAAATTAATGCAGGACCCCAGTGCATTTACCGTGTATTTTCCCCTGCAGTGCACAAGGGGCCAAATAATCCACAAAAAGATCAAGGTGCACGTCTCCTTCTCTACTTCTTCACCCCTATCTAATGAAAGTGTTTCCTGCATTGTGATTGTATGACATTTATCTTAGCCAATCTCCCCAAATCCTGTCATTACAAAGCTTAACTTTTTCCTGAACCTCCTCTCATAATCCATTAGTAACAATAAAATGTTTTTCTTAGTGAATTTAGCAAACCGAAATGATGGGGAAGCTGCTTTGAAACTGTAGCTTGCCAAGTTACAAACAATCATAATGTACTACAAACTACAACTACTCTAGTTTTTATTTATTTATTATTATTATTTTTTAAGTAATTAGCTACAGACTACAAACAAAAAACTATCTTTAAGTTATTAAGGGGGTCAAAAGGGGGGCAGGCACAAAATCAGTAAGCAGTTTTGAATTAAGTAGATTATCTAGGTTAAAGTGATAGCAGCACGTGATCCACATAATAATAATAATAATAATAAATAACTTGCATAACAATAATAATAATAATAATAATAACTTGCATTATAAAGTTGCATAACCGTGAAAATGCAGTACATCGATTTGCACAGGTAGTCGAAAAGAGAAATATGATTTAATTGTTCATGTACATCAGGGATGGGCAACTTTGATAGTGACGAGGGCCAGCATTTTTTCTCCTTTATACCAAGGGGCCAGATTACTAATCCACGTCCACACACCTTTTACACCGTTTTACTCAATTTCCTTTTTATTGAAGGAAATTAAAGTATAACTAATGTCATTTGTTTTTAAAGATTTCATTAAGTATAAAACTTGTGCAGTTATGCTAATTCAGAAGGAAAACTTTGTTGTCAGTGGACAGAAATATTACCCCGACAAGCCAGTGTAAACATTTCAATTGCATTGTCTGTAAATTTGCAACAAACAAATATACAGAGGTCCTTTTTTTATTAGTAGCCTACAGAACATTCTCAAAACAACCTAAAAGGACAGTTAAAAAGGGCTTAATTTAAAAAAAAGTTATTCTAAATGGCCGTATATGGGCCGCCAGTTGCCCATCCCTGATGTACATGAATCGCATAGAATGAATGAATCCAAACGAATAAATCCCTGCATTCGAGAGAGAACCGTTCAGCATGAACCGATTCAATAGAATGATTCTGATATTTTGGATGAAGCGAAATGAATCAGAAATTCCAGTGCTTCATTCTATGAATTTGACTTTCTGAGAAATAGAGGGCCGTTGAGGTAAACGCGCTTGATTATTTCCTCATCTCAGACATGAGCTCAACAGCCTCTTTTATATCGTACCATGGCGCGATGGTTTTCATTAGGAAACCCAGGCAAGTTGGCATAGCCTAGTTATGTTTCTTTTTCTACGGGGAGCAACAACGTTACAATGTATGGTAACGCAAGAGTTTCCAATTGCTTGAAGTAAACATTGGCGCGAACACGCGCTATGGTTGATGATAATAAATGAAAATTTTCCTGAAGTAGGTACAATGAACATTCATGGACATTATATGAGTCGTAGCCAGTGGTGGAAAGAGTACTGAAAAAATATACTCAAGTAAAAGTACCATTGCCTTCCAAAAAAATGTAGTGTGAGTAGAGTAAAAGTACTTGTCCAAAAAACTACTTGAGTATGAGTAAAAGAGTAGCCTATTTAAAAGTACTCATGAGTATTGAGTAGTGAGTACTGAGCTTTGGATTCTACCCCCTCATAATAACACGCTGTACACCGCCATTTATACATTTTAAAAACGTACATTCTGTAATTCATATTATCTTATTTGTCATAAAGAATGAAGGGTATCTATAATCCAGCAGTTTTAACTTTTTGACTGCCAACTCTTTAAAATACATCAAAACATCACGGAAACAGAATTCAAGTGTTGAAATTGTTTATGCGCGAGTGCACTTGCTAAGTGAAGGCAGATTGTATACAATGGATAACAAAAAAAAAAATAATTCACAGCGCGCATCACACGCTCAAACTCATCAAAAGTCAACAAGTTTCACAAGCAACAGCGACTTATCCAAGTGACTGCTGCAGAACGCACGCGAGAGAGAGACGAGGCAGCGCAGATCGCGCGTCTCATAAGTCGGTGGGAATTTACCGAACGTGGCACTTGCGGGAGTTAACACTGTATGCACTACCCGCAACCTCACACCAAATTTCAGGCCATGTAGATAGGCAAGCATATATACAAATCATTTAGTAAGCAGAAATCCGAAATTTACCTTAACATATCAAGTTAGAGGAAGATGTGACTGAATTGATGCTTGAAGAATGCACTTCCAGCAGCCATGATAAACAGTTGGCGGTTAAAGTTTTCGATGCACAAATTGATTTGACGAAAGTCACGAGACCTATTACTTATCTCTCTATCCAATCACGTTGATGGATACAAAATAGAATTAAAATAAGCATGTAAGGACCACAAACGGAGAAAAAATATCGGAGTAAAAGTACCGATACAGCACTTAAAATGTACTCAAGTAAAATTACAAAATTTTTAAACTACTTAAACAAGTACAATTACTGATAAAAACTACTTAATTACTGTAACGTGAGTATTTGTAATTCGTTACTTCACACCCGTAGCTATATTGATATGGAATATAAGTTTATATGTTTGGTAAGTGTATATAGTTAAGTGCACTGACATCGCTGATGAAAAAAAGTGTCCCAATTTACCCGAATTCACACTATATGTTGATACTCGTTTTGGATATACATAGTCTTTACCTCCAAACCAGGGCGTGTTCGTTCACAAGCTGCAAGCGCGATAGAACTGCTTCTTTGCTGACATATGAACAATAGAAGACATTTGCGAGTATCAGCGCTATTATTTCGGTTTGAGAAACCGATTCAGACGATTCAGTGCGCGAGTGAACTGTCCGAATGAATCAAACTGAATCGCACATTATTACTTTTTTGTTTTGTTTGTTTGTTTTTGCAAACCCTTATTAGTGATTCATGCGCGAATCACTAGTTCTGGTTTTAAACAGTTGACAGAAACACGCTTTACATGATTGCTTGTCAGTTCAGTACAATGTAATAATCTCCACCATCAGACAGGGATTTTTCAGTAGGCCTAATATGCCTATTTCTCTGTAAAAGGGTCTAGCGAAGTAGCTTGTTAAAGGAACTTGTTAAATGGACGAGCTACACCATGCTACTTAAAAACAGATGAATTTAATTCACAATATACTGAAAGTGTTTAGTTAGTAGTTTGGTTACTGCCCAACACTGGTAAACAGCAACAACTTTTTTTCTCTTTCTCATCCCATTAATGATCTGTTAAACAATACCCTATCATTGACCGTTTATTTGACCTCCAGTTGAGAGCTGTACCTGAGTGCTTTTGTAATGCCATCTTTCAGTGAGCTCTAAATGAGGCTCATTGTGATGTCTAATTGTATAGCAGACATTTAACACATCAAATATAATTTGCTTGGATTCATTAACTATAATGAAGGAATCCACACTCCTAGATTCACCATTTAAAGCATCATGTATGCCCAACTCTGCTTTTTGATGCTGGCAATTCCTTTCTCTTTTTTTTCTCCCTCCAGTGCTGTTTCAATCCCTATGTACCTTCTGGTCTGTTACCCTGGTGCTGTAAAACATAAATGCCTGAATTGTGCATTAGGGCACCATGATTACATCCATCAATCATGTCAGAGAATTTGGAAATGATGGTTTAATGTACCTTTTTAACTACATGTAACTTTGTTGCTGCCTCTATACATATTTTGTGCCATCGATATGAAATGCACAAGAAAGAAGGGTGGAAAAGAGAGCAAAAACCCATTGTGTTTTTCCCTGTCATTAAGCTGTGCCTGGGAGATGATGTGGAAGCCGTATGTGGTCCAGGGGAAGTATTTATGGCCCTGCTTGAATCTGGTTGGGCTTCGCTGATAGCTGAGATAATGGGAGCGAATGGGATGCAGCGAGCTGTTCTAATGGCACCAACAAGACATGGGAACAGCCAGGATAAATAAATGTTAGCCATTTTCTCTACTCCACCACACCATTTGCATGTTCCATCATTAAAGCTGCTTAAATAGTTCCGATAATAGAATAATAATAAAAGTACCAGTTGCATTTAAAGAGTGGAAAACAGGTCTTTAAATTTTCTTAATGCATTTGATGCAAAGGCTCATGTTTCAGTTGAATAGTGCAGTTGTGTTCGGTTGAAGATAGCGGGAGCTTTCATTTTAATTTGTTTTAATTCTGACACTTATGCTCCAGTGGCTTTTCTGAGGCCCAAAAGTTGTAAAGGTATTACAGAAAAAAATCAATCACCTGCTGTCCAGGTGAGTTCAGTTTTAGGATGAGTCGTTTAAATTAGGACATCAGTCAGACTTGTTGTGTTATTTTGTTCTAGTTACGAAAGGAGATGCTTTGTCAATTTGCCAGGATTTTGTATTTTTAATATAGCCGGAAGATGTATTTTTAAAATCTGTTTAAGTACACAATAGCTCATGACATTAATCATTCTCTCTTAAGCTCTTACGGTAAGAAAAAAAAAAGAAGCAAGTTTTTCCCAAAATCTTCTGCGTTGTCTTAATGAACAGGTGTCTACATAACACAGCCCACCTCACAGATGGCTATATAATTAGCATCCATTATGGCAGCCTCTCCAAGGCCAAGATCTGTGTGGCCAAGAAGACTTGCTAACCTTCTCACCTTCAAGCAGACCCTTCCCTGTGGGAGGCTGACACTTCTTTTTTCTAAGCTCGGACAAGATTGGGGGCCCGTTCATAAGGTGTCATTTTGATGCTTGAGCATTACTGAGACATGAATTTAAATTCCAAGGAGGTGAAGGTCTCCTTGGAAGATTTTGAATATCGCAAATTGCCCAAAAAGGTGAATTAACAAAATATATTGTACTTAAATTGCATATTTTGTTAAATTTTTTTCATGATGCTCCAGCCAGTTAGCTGCCATTGAACACATTATAATCTTCATAATAAGATTTAAATATTTAAATGGCATTTTAATTAATTATATTTAATATTTATAAAATAAATAGTATTCTTTAGCCCATTTATACCGGAACAGTGCATTCATGCGAGGCTTCGCCGTATCTCCCAGAGCTTAAAACAATACAGTTTACTCCTGTAGTCACGGTTGTGGCAGTAGCGGTCAGGTCATTCCACGAGCATGTCAGCTTTCATGCCTGACTGGTTCTGTTGTGGGGCGAGGGGGGTGGGCCAGAGTGCAGGGAGCACGAGTAGGCCTGTAATTTTCTCCACTTAGAAATGAATTCCATCTAATCTCATTTCACCATGTCAAACGGCACTGTGACATGCTGTTTTCCTCAGTAACATTTGGTTATGCTGCAGCAGTCGACTGCCCTCCTGATGCAGCCTGACACCCTCTGGTTATTAAAAACTGTTTGCACTTTGCGATATTGTATGATGTGGGTTAAATGCTGAGCAATAGAGAGACTAAATAAACCCTCTCTGTTTTTTAGTTTCATCAGCTGATATCTTGTGCCGGTAGCTTGTCTCTGCTTTGAGGTTAGGTTGCCTGTCACTGTGAAATATAGTTAATGGCTAATCCATCTTGTATTTCAGGTGTTGTGACCCTCTTGACGCTTTACCTTCTTTTTTTTTTACCTCATCATCAAAATATATTTATTACAGTTTCTCTCTATTATAGTATCATTATAGTAGCTGCAAAAATATTCATTTAGAAACACATCTCTACTTCAATATATATTTTAAATGATTTGAAAAAGGCTTTAAAAGGCTGTTTTCATTCTATTCATTTCAGTAGTTGTGTGTTTTGTTTTTGTTTTCATGTGTGAAACTGTAATGGTTTATTTATTTATTTACTTATTTATTTATTGTTCTGTCTTGATGAGGACTCCCTGGAAGAAGAGATTTGTATCTCAATGGGACTTTCCTGGTTAAATAAAGGATAAATAAAGTAAATACATAAAAATAGTATTTTCTCTATTCTATGAATTTTGGTAGGGTATCATTACTTTTTCAAAAATCACCAATAGTTTGTTCTTACACCTTCATATGAGTAGTGCAAATGTAAATGATAATTCATTTTATGTATTGAATCATTTAGACAGTACTAATTGTTGGTATTATTTTTTTTCTCCATTTATTTTTCTCTTGTTTTTTTTTTTTTACCTGTTCCTAATTATTAATTGTTATGGTGTATATTGTACATACATATTTTATTATAATAAGAAGAAAAGGCTTTTCTTTGTGCAGTGTACGTTTAGACAAACAAATATTATAAATTTAGCAGCAAATACTAAATGCATAATCTCTCTCAGTCTGTCTTCCATAGTGAGTGCAGACACACACAGAAGCTTTCCCCTCACCTCACAATAAAGAAGTGCGCATTTAGGAGATGGAGTTGCAGACTCTTGAGTTATTTGTAGGGGTAATGTATTATTCTGTTCAAGTAATGATCAGGTAGTGTTAGATGAATGCGAGGTGTTCAGCTCCATTACTGGCTGCACATCAGTGAGGCATTATTACATTATCGCTGCTCCTTAGCAGGAGATTGGCTGTGTGACCAGGTTCTGAATACACTCATAGTGCTCGGGATGGCATAAATTGCAGATTGGCTCATTGCTTTCAATAATAAAAAGTAAGAATTGCTAGGAAAAAGAACATGGACTCAGGCTGTTCCTCAGCTGTTTGTCAACTGAAGATGTTGGTGCATTAGAAGGAGGGATGTTAAACAGTTGCAGGGATTTTCAGATAGATCAAGAGATCTGCCATTGGGCATTCACACTATTCTGAAAGGAAACACAAATCTTCATTTTTTTTCATTTGGTGTTGAAACGAAAGGGCATTATGAGCAGTATAAGAAGCCAGTTTGATATATTATGATATATCCATAATATACTGTATATTACATAGAAAATTTATATTTCAGATTTTTTCAAAACATTTGGATTGCTTGCTGATTGCTTTTATTTACTTATTAGTCTGGCACCCTAGACTCTTGATGATCCTTAGGAGGGAAGGAAATCATTAAAACAAATTAGACTGTAAACATTCTAAGGAGCATTTGTCTTGGGGATCAATATGTTCTGCTGTTCTTTCCTGGAGTCTATAGTGTTTTCAAACCATCATGAGGGAGATTATGAAAAGAGTCCTTTTTTGGCTTACAGATGGACCAATAATTATTGACAGCTTGGAAACTAATGACTGAACCCCCTTTTAACCTCATGCCCAACTGTATTAGATAAACTTTAATTTTTTCTTGAAAATGCCAAAAGCATTAATTATATTTTCAGATAAAATACTGATATGATTCTAAATTCTTTTATTTGGTTTAGTTGCATTGTGATTGGCAATCTAATATAATCCAATAATCATCTGTCTTATGTAATTGTTTTTAATAATAATAATAATAATAATTATTATTATTATTATTTTACTAAATTTATATTTTCAGTTTTTAATAGTAGATATATTGTACTTCACATTTTTTTCTGATCAGTATTATATTATTCATTATACATGTAGTGTATAATAATAATAATAATAATAATTGTTATATTATTAAATTGGCTTGTTTAACTCATTTCAATCTTTAATATTTTTTTCTGCTTAAAATGATTACATTGCCAGCATTAGCAACACAATCAAGATTTGCTCTGTTCTTTCTCCACTCCATCCATATCATGACAACGCTGTGCAAAGCAGGTGACTCTAAGCTGCAAATTGAAGAAAAGCGTCCCATTAAATCAGACAATATCACATGTATTCATTTCCTCCTCTTTGTACCTTTTAAGCTTATTTTCGCCGAGGATGAAA